GTAATGAGGGAGAGATCCTCAAATGGAGTCTGCTCTTCGTCTTCCATGCTAGGGGAGAGGACCTCAAAGCGATTGTGTATTTCTAAACAATCAGAGCGAACCCTGGGCCTCCTACTTCTTTGAGTCACGTTTCTCCATATATCTGGCTCCTGTGCTGGTGAACTAGCCTCCTTCTCAGGGGAGTCCCCTGTCTCCTCCTTGGTGGAGACGGTGTGCTCTGTTGCTTCCAAGAAGAGCTCTAGCTCTCTAATTCTTTGGAGCATAGCTACACGATCCTCCAGTTGCTGGACTTTGTCTTGTAAGAGTGCAATCAACATGCAATTGCTGCAAGTAAAGCTGCCTGCAACCTTTGGCAAGATGGCAAACATTGCGCAGGAATCGCAGGCGACTGCAGCTGTTCCCTCACCCTCCATCTTGAGAACATGTCGTTGGGGGTAACTACAGGGGTCCTCCATCATAAAAAGCGTGAAGACAGGACAAATAACTCCCCCCCCAAAAAACCCTAGTTCTCCGTCAACAAACGTGTGAGACTAGCTCCCCTAAATCTAAAAGATGGATCAAACTGCGCGCGCCGCTAGGCGCACGCCGCTGCCCTGCAAACTCTGATAAGCTCCTCCCACAGCTAATCACCTACCTCAACAGAAGCCCTGCCCCCTCTGACCTTTGCACAGGGAGAGCAGCTAATCAGCCACAAGTAACACACACACACAAGAAAAACCCTTTTTTGCACCTTCTTCAGCTGCTGCCCTGCAAACTGCCCTGCAAATATTGGCAGTGTCAATTGGGCGGGAGATTGGTGGCTGCGGCAAGGCCTGCTGGCGATTGGCTGTGGCAATTGGGCAGGCGATTGGTGGCTGTGGCGAGGTGGGCAGGCGATTGGCGGCTGCGCCGAGGTGTGCGATTGGCAGTGGCTGTGGCAAGCGATCGGCAGTGGTGGTCAGGCGGGTGAGCGATTGGTGGAAGCGACCTCTCCCACCCCCCAAAAAAGCTAAACAACTTAATTTCTTAATTTTGGGTTAAAAAAAATAGGGGCCGTCTTATATATGGAGGCATCTTATACACGGGAAAATACGGCAATTGTCGAGTAGCAAATGTAACTTTCATGTATGGAAAAATGAATAAAATGTTATTAAATAAAAAAGAGCAAAAATGCCCACTGTTCAGGAGAATCGTTTAAATAGTTGGTAGTAGCAATTCTGAGCATGCACAGAGTTCTTTCCCTCATAAATCAATGAGAGAGAGAGAGAGACCACACTCCCTTTCCCACCCCTTCCCCATCCTCAAACCCCCTCCCATCTCAGCCTGTCCTCTTCCAACCCCTTCTCCTTATCCTAACATTTTGTCCCCGAGCAGCTTTGTTTAAAATCCTAAATTTGCCACAGTGAGTCACTTTTGACTGTGGAAAGGGAAAGGGATATGATCTAGATTTTTTATTTTATTTTTTTGAGTGAGGGGAGGCAATGTTCAGGCGCAGCTCTGTTCTCTTGGAGACCTTGACCCCCTCCCCTTTAACAATCCATCTTAACAATGCCGTTCCACGCCCAGGGACCGTTCCTTCCTGTCTGGCAGGCTGCGGCGTCCTGTCCCCGTCCCTTAGCACCTCCAAAGAGTCTTTCTCCAAATATTTAGAGAAAGCAGTGAACAATCCAGGACATCGATTTCCCCCTTCGGCCTTACCCTCCCACCCAGGAAAAGAAAGGGAGAAAGAGCTTTGCTCTGCTTTCAGCTGCCTCAACTAGGGAACCCCGTCTCTCCTGGGGAGGAAGAACAGATATATTTCACCCTCAGATGTAACTGCTACCACATAAAGCGAGCTCTGCATTTGCAAAGAAAAAAGATCCATCTTTTAGTGCGGTCCCGCCTATCTTTTGCAACTCCCAGCTTCTTGACATTACGTAGTTGCCTTGGTTGGTTTCGTTGCCAGTGCCTTCTGAACACTTCTTTGTATACCTACCCAGATAAATTTATGCGTATATTTATTTTGAAAACTATTCATTTATCTGTTTTTTTATTACAGTGGTACCTCAGGTTACAGACACCTCAGGTTACAGACGCTTCAGGTTACAGACTCCGCTAACCCAGAAATAGTACCTCGGGTTAAGAACTTTGCTTCAGGGGCCCCATTAGGTAAAGTGGTACCTCAGGTTAAGAACAGTTTCAGGTTAAGAACGGACCTCCAGAACGAATTAAGTTCTTAACCCGAGGTACCACTGTATTCTGTTAAATCTGCTGTTTCTCTCTCTCTCTCTGTCTGTCTCTCTCTCTCTCTCTCTCTCTCTCTCACACACACACACACACACACACACACACACACATATATATATAATGTGTGTGTGTGTGTGTGTGTGTGTGTGTGTGTGTGTGTACATTTTTATTGGGGGTTTTCTAACATATCATTTCCAACATAACTTCTTGTCGTATACAATATTTTAGACTTCCGTCAACACCTCTGATGATTTTCTGTTCTTTATCACTTATTCTGCATTTCTTAATTTCTCTATTACTCTTAATTATCATTAACTAATAATTATCCTCATGGTCTTTCTTGCAATATTTCAAATAGTCATCCTTACAAAACTTCTTGCAATTCTACTAGCGGAATCCGTTCATTACAATTACTTTTCAAATAGTTCGTTTATTTACTCCAGTCTTCTAAGAATTTCTAGTCGCGCAGGTTTCGAATCCTTCCCGTTAATTTATCCAGTTCTTAATAGTCCATCAATTTCATCCACCATTCTTCTTTCATCTTGCTTCCATTTTTGTGCCAATAATATTCTTGCTGCTGTCACTGCATATAAAAACAACTTACAATCCTGTCTATTAATATCATCTTAAATCTGCGAGAACAGGATGAGCTGTTATCCTGATCAAGCAGTCTCTTCTCATATTCTTATTAACTGAAGCTAAGTGATGCTGGTACAACCTTGTGGGTTAAGACTGTGCCGTTTTAATGTGTCTGGGACACGGGTGGCACTCTGGTCTAAACCACTGAGCCTCTTGGGCTTGCCGATCCGAAGGCTGGCGGTTTGAATCCCCACTGCAGAGTGAGCTCCTGTTGCTCTGTCCCAGCACCTGCCAACCTAGCAGTCCGAAAGTACACCAGCGCAAGTAAATAAATATGTCCCACTGCAGCAGGAAGGTAAACAGTGTTTCCGTGTACTCTGATATCCGTCACAGTGTCCTGTTGCACCAGAAGTGGTTTGGTCATGGTGGCCACATGACCTGGAAAGCTGTCTGTGGACAAACACCGGCTCCCTTGGCCGGTAGGCGAGATGAGCGCCACAACCCCATAGTCGCCTTTGACTGGACTTAACCATCCAGGGCTCCTTTACCTTTTTAATATGTCCAGATATTGTGCATCAAGAGCCAGTGTGGCGTAGTGGTTAAAAGCGGTGGACTCGTAATCTGGGGAACCGGGTTCGCGTCTCCGCTCCTCCACATGCAGCTGCTGGGTGACCTTGGGCCAGTCACACTTCTCTGAAGTCTCTCAGCCCCACTCACCTCACAGAGTGTTTGTTGTGGGGGAGGAAGGGAAAGGAGATTTTTAGCCGCTTTGAGACTCCTTCGGGTAGTGATAAAGCGGGATATCAAATCCAAACTCTTCTTCTCCCTTGCTTCACTGTCATTGGACCATTCAGAACTGTAGCTTCCTTGAAGCCGGGCTGTTACCATGTGGACGGAGGAAGGAGAGTCGGGTTTATTGTGATACTGAGTGGGGGTCCACGCCCTCTCTTGCATTCCTTTTTTAGGGGGCGGAAATGCGACCTTTGCAGGGGTGGCAGAAAGCAGCCCCTCCCTCGTCCCATGAGGAGACCCTGTGGGAGTTACTATTCCTGTCGGTCTCCCAGCTGCAGGCTTCAGATAAAGAATGGCAGGGGACCAGGCAGAGGGACGGAGGCCAAGCCTGGTCTGGCTCGTGGTTTTGAAAAGAGGCGGCTTTTGAACTCCTCGCTGCCTCCTGGAATAAGCAGCCTGAAGAAAAAGGGGAGATATCGCTGGAAAGCAGACCATGCACCCTGCCCAAGCTTTCCCCCCTAGGGAGGTCACTTTGGTTCTGCTCAACACAGTGGTTAACACCCCTGGAGGCACACTCCATTGTCTCTCAATAATAATAATAATAATAATAATAATTTATTATTTGTACCCCGCCCTTCTGGCTGGGTCTCCCCAGCCACTCTGGGTGGCTTCGAACAAAGATTAAACATACATTAAAATGTCTCACATTTAAAACTTCCCTGAACAGGGCTGCCTTCAGATGTCTTCTAAAGGTCAGGTAGTTTTTTATTTCCTTGACATCTGCTGGGAGGGTGTTCCACAGGGCAGGCGCCACCACCGAGAAGGCCCTCTGCCTGGTTCCCTGTAACTTCGCTTCTTGCCGTGAGGGGACATTAAGCTTTTAATGTTTGATGCATTACTATATTTTAATATTTTGTTGGAAGCCACCCAGAGTGACTGGGGAAGCCCAGCCAGATGGGCGGGGTATAGATAATAAATTGTTATTATTTTATTATTATTATTATAAACAAGTTTAGATGGATGCAATAATGGAATACTGAATGGTATAGTTTTTGTAAAATATGCAGGGATTTATGATATGTAAAATGAACCATGGAAAGAGAAGAAGGGAAGTCATTGATATCTTAAGGATGTAAAATGAGTATTTAAATTGCAAAACACAAAATTTAATAAAAATTATATTTATATAAAAAAGAAAGGCTCACAGCATTAACATTGCAAGTCTTCTCATGCCATGCATTGGAAAGGAGGCTTTCCCATGACAACTAGAAGACTGAAGAGCTGCTACAGTCACTTGGAGGCTTCTCATCCCATTGATTCCCCGCCCCGGTTTCTGTGTGAACCCCACACTTTTCTCTCCTTTGAAGACTGTGATTGGCACTGTCCCTGTGTTAGGAAACGATTCCCACCAGGGTGGCAGCCGCCAGCAAGTTTGCCCTAGTCAAAGCCCTAACCGTGGCGAATTTTGTTCTTTCTTTCTACAGAACAGTTTGGAGGAGAGCGCCGCGAAAGAGGCTCTCTTGAATGTCCTCTGCAAAGCGGTGAAGCCCACCTTCAACCAGAGCCGGGATGGGTGTTTGGCGAGGCTGGCTTCCAAAGACGACCCCAAGTACTTGGCTGTCCTCGAGGTGGCTGTGTTGAGTAGGTACCACACGCGTTGTTGGGAGCCCCTAGGGCAGCCTTTGCCAACTTGGCGCCCTCCAGATGTGCTGGCTGCGGCTGATGGGAGCTGTGGTCCAGAGCATCTGGAGGGCACTGGGATCATAGAATCATAGAGTTGGAATAGACCACAAGGGCCATCGAGTCCAACCCCCTGCCAAGCAGGAAACACCATCAGAGCACTCCTGACATATGGTTGTCAAGCCTCTGCTTAAAGACCTCCAAAGAAGGAGACTCCACCACACTCCTTGGCAGCAAATCCACTGTCGAACAGCTCTTACTGTCAGGAAGTTCTTCCTAATGTTTAGGTGGAATCTTCTTTCTTGTAGTTTGGATCCATTGCTCCGTGTCCGCTTCTCTGGAGCAGCAGAAAACAACCTTTCTCCCTCCTCTCTATGACATCCCTTTATATATTTGAACATGGCTATCATATCACCCCTTAACCTCCTCTTCTCCAGGCTGAACATGCCCAGCTCCCTTAGCCGTTCCTCATAAGGCATCGTTTCCAGGCCTTTGACCACTTTGGTTGCCCTCCTCTGGACACGTTCCAGTTTGTCAGTGTCCTTCTTGAACTGTGGTGCCCAGAACTGGACACAGTAATCACAGGGATGATGTTTTCCCGTGAGTAAGAACTTTCATACCTGTGCTCTGATGCCCTGGTAGTTGCAGACCAGTCTAATAATAATAATAATTTGTTGTTGTTTAGTCGTTTAGTCGTGTCCGACTCTTTGTGACCCCCTGGACCAGAGCAAGCCAGGCACTCCTGTCTTCCACTGCCTCCTGCAGTTTGGTCAAACTCATGTTCGTAGCTTCGAGAACAGTATCCAACCATCTCGTCCTCTGTCCTCCCCTTCTCCTTGTGCCCTCCATCTTTCCCAACATCAGGGTCTTTTCCAGGGAGTCTTCTCTTCTCATGAGGTGGCCAAAGTATTGGAGCCTCAGCTTCAGGATCCGTCCTTCCAGTGAGCACTCAGGGCTGATTTCCTTCCGAATGGATAGGTTTGATCTTCTTGCAGTCCATGGGACTCTCAAGAGTCTCCTCCAGCACCATAATTCAAAAGCATCAATTCTTCGGCGATCAGCCTTCTTTATGGTCCAGCTCTCACTTTATTATTTGTACCCCACCCATCTGGCTGGGTCTCCACAGCCACTCTGGGCAGCTTCCAATGAAGATTAAAAATACATTAAAATGTCACACATTAAAAACTTCCCTGAACAGGGCTGCCTTCAGATGTCTTCTAAATGTCACGTAGTTGTTTATTTCCTTGACATCTGATGGGAGGGCGTTCCACAGGGTGGGTGCCACAACTGAGAAGGCCCTCTGCCTGGTTCCCTGTAACTTGGCTTCTCGCAGCGAGGGAACCGCCAGAAGGCCCTCGGTGCGGACCTCCATGTCCGGGCAGAATGATGCGGGTGGAGACGCTCCTTCAGATATACTGGATGAAGGCCGTTTAGGGCTTTAAAGGTCAACACCAACACTTTGAATTGTGCTTGGAAACGTACTGGGAGCCAATGTAGGTCTTTCAAGACCGGTGTTATGTGGTCTCGGCGGCCGCCCCCAGTCACCAGTCTAGCTGCCGCATTCTGGATTAGTTGTAGTTTCTGGGTCACCTTCAAAGGTAGCCCCACGTAGAGCGCATTGTAGTAGCTCAAGAGGGAGATAACTAGAGCATGCACCACTATGGCGAGACTGTCTGTGGGCCAGTAGGGTCTCATCCTGCATACCAGATGGAGCTGGTAGACAGCCGCCCTGGAGACAGAATTGACCTGCGCCTCCATGGACAGCTGTGAGTCCAAAATGACTCCCATGCTGCGCACCTGGTCCTTCAGGGGCACAGTTACCCCATTCAGGACCAGGGAGTCCCCCACACCAGCCCACAGGAAACCTTTTGCCCAACATTGGACTGGAACCCACAACCCCAAGATAAAGCGTCTCATGCTCTAATGACTGAGCCGAGTGTGTTGCTATTCCACACAGTTTTCTGCCCCGCCTTAAAAAGGTAAATAAATAGTTTCTGTTCTCCTCACCTTTTGTTTCCTTCTGTTAGCAAACTCTGCAGATAAGGAGCTGTTTGAGTCTTTGGCGGCGAAGATGGAAGAGCTGGAAAAGGTAAGGAGGATGTTTGAGGACGTCCCATTCCTTTGGGTTGTCGCCTTTTCAGTCAGGCATCTTCAGATCTTTAGCTTGAAGTGTTGCTTGGCAACCGGCCGTCGCCAACTGGGGTTCAAGGACAGCCCTTCAAGGTGTGTAAGGATGAAGGGTGCTTTGCTGAGTGATTCTCTGAAGGAGGCAGGGAAGCAAAGCAGTTGCCCATATACGATACGATACGATAATCTTTATTGTCATTGTTCCATACAGAACAACGAAATTGAAAAAATCTATATCAGACATTTAAAAACCAACAAGCCTGCTATCCCAGCTATCCCAGCCTGGTTAGCCCCCTAAAAACTCTGATACCCCATAATTAAATACAATATACTCCCCTAGAGACTACCTTACACTGCGTTTAAAACCAAAATCACATTTGGATAGAAACTGTTTCTCAGGCGGCTAGTCCTAGTCTTTATAACCCTGGACCTTCTTCCAGAAGGCAGAAGCTGAAAGAGACCATTTCTGGGGTGCGCACTATCCTGCACTATCTCTGCACTTTCTTATGACACCTGGAAGCCTATCTCTTGCCCCTCACAATATTATTTGTGAGGTGGTGCCCTTGTGTGGGGGGGGGGCTGATTTAAGCCCTCTTAAATCAGCAGCAGAGAGACAGTGTGGCCTAGTGGTTAGAGTGTCGGACTAGGAAAGTGGTCAATGGAACGCTTTTCTATTTTATTTTTAAGGAATCCAAAGGTGATTTGGGAAACTGCAGGGCAGTTAGCTTAACGCATGTTCTGGGGAAACGAGTGGAAATCATGATTAAAGATAGAATTAGCAGGAACCGGTTTGGGCGAAGTAGACACGGCGGAGATTTTGCAAGGGCAAGTCAGCCGTGCCTCACTCGCCTTTCAGAGGGCAAAGGAAGTAGATGAATAGAGGTGGTCCAGTTGATGTTGTGTCCAGTTGACATTGAGGCAGTGTGGTGTAGTGGTTAGAGTGTTAGGCCTGGGAGACCTGGGTTCGAATCCCCACTCGCCCAGGAAGCTCACTGGGTGACCTTTGGCCAGTCATTGCCTCTTGGTCTAACCTACCTCACAGGGTCGTTGTGAGGATAAAATGGGGGGGAGGAGGTCCTTGGAGGAATATGTGGGAATATGTAATTAATGTAATTAATATGTAATTAATAAATAAAACAAGTAACAGTTGAGCCAAGATGTCAGACATCCCCCAAGGGATGAGAAGGGAGGTTGAGGCCTCTTCGGAAACACAGAAGAGCCAAGGGGATTTAAACTTGGTGCTATATTTTTAGCCTAGTTTTGTATTTAGAAATTGGGGGAGTTTAGAGGGAAACCCCTTCAAAAACGGGGCACATGAACCCTGAGTTTTGAGGGGACTGAATAGCAGAATTAGATGGGGGTCTAAGGGGTTGGGCAGATGAGTGGTCCTCGGCTAAGTTTTACTCAAGAGAAAGCCCTGTGAAGAGGGATGCGGGTGGCGCTGTGGGTTAAACCACAGAGCCTAGGACTTGCCAGTCAGAAGGTCGGCAGTTCGAATCCCCGCGACAGGGTGAGCTCCTGTTGCTCAGTCCCTGCTCCTGCCAACCTAGCAGTTCAAAAGCACGTCAAAGTGCAAGTAGATAAATAGGTACCACTCCGGCGGGAAGGTAAACGGCGTTTCCGTGCGCTGCTCTGGTTCGCCAGAAACGGCTTAGTCATGCTGGCCACATGACCCGGAAGCTGTATGCCGGCTCCTTCGGCCAATAAAGCGAGATGAGCGCCGCAACCCCAGAGTCGGTCACGACTGGACCTAATGGTCAAGGGCCCCTTTACGTTTTTAAGCCCTGTGAAATTAATGGACCTAGCTCAGGCATGTTTGTCAATTTCAGTGGGCCTACACTTGAGCAAAACTTAGTTGAATAACACCCAATGGCGCTTCTCCCCTCCTCTCCACACACACTTAAAAAGGAAAAAGAGCCTTATTTGATACGTTTGCATCCCAGTTTTCCTCCCAGAAGTGCAAAGCGCACCATGCAAGGCTCTCCCGCTCCAATCATTTTGTCCTGCGGGGTTAGGCCGAGAGACAGTGCCTGGCCCCAGGTCACCAACTGAGCTTCATGGCCGAGTGTTGATTTGAACACGGGTCTCCCCAAGTCCTAGTCCAACGATCTTCACTGCTGCACCCATTGCAACTGCTCGTACAGCAACCACAGCTGACTCTCTCCATCAAGTTTGCATTTCCTGGTCTGGGATGCCCTGGGAACAAGGCACATTCTGTCCCTTCCTGCTAGTCTAGGAAACGCAGCTGGCAGGGTGGAGAGCCTTGATGGGGTCATTGTGTGAGCAACCACAATGGAGCTTCTTTTAAAAAAAAAAATATGTGGTGAACACGGTAACCTCCCTTCAGTCATCTAATCTTCTAAGTCAGATGATCAGCTTGGTTTTTTATTTAATAATTTCAAAAAGTCATTTAAGGGACAGGCCCCCGGTGTCTCCTGAAAGTAGTAAGTACTCCCTCTGGGGAGTAACGCTCCTGAAAATTTTATTTATTTATTATTATTGCATTTTTATGCTAACTTTCTCTCCAAGGAGCTCCACGTGGTTCTCCCCCTCAGTGTCAAATTTAGGGTGGTGGTGACTGCACATAGGGTGCCAATCCAAGGAGCTGCAAAATAATAATCATCATCATCTCTCTAATACTTCAGAAATTAGAGTAAATGAGTTACAATTAAGTAAGAAACATAGCAGCAACCAGGACAGGACAGGACAGATTCAGTAGTAGTAATAATAATAATAATAATAATAATAATAATAATGATGTTTACTCGTGTCCGACTCTTCGTGACCCCATGGACCAGAGCACGCCAGGCACTCCTGTCTTCCACTGCCTCCCGCAGTTTGGTCAGACTCATGTTCGTAGCTTCGAGAACACTGTCCAACCATCTCATCCTCTGTCGTCCCCTTCTCCTTGGGCCCTCCATCTTTCCCAACATCAGGGTCTTTTCCAGGGAGTCTTCTCTTCTCATGAGGTGGCCAAAGTATTGGAGCCACAGCTTCAGGATCTGTCCTTCCAGTGAGAACTCAGGGCTGATTTCCTTAAGAATGGATACGTTTGATCTTCTTGCAGTCCATGCGACTCTCAATAATAATAATAATAATAATTTGTTATTTATACCCCGCCCATCTGGCTGAGTTTCCCCAGCCACTCTGGGCAGCTTCCAATCAAGTGTTAAAAACAATACAGCATTGTACTGTAAAAGAGGAGGGTCCCACAAAACAAAGATAACTGATGAGCGTTTGCAGTGCTCTTCCAGAGCAGTACGAGGAAGATGCTAAATGCACCAACGTGGAACGGGCTTTTCATAATTTAGGGGTTGCCACAGAGAAAATCCTCTCCCAGGTCATTATCCCCCACGCTTCCAAGGGCAGGAACCACACACAGAGCCCCTCTGCCCACCTTAAGAAGGTCAGTAGCCATGCAGATGGCATTTCAGATATTGGGGGCTTAAGTCTTTTAGGGATTTAATCACCTTGAATTGGGCCGTGGGACAAAGTGGCCACCCGCGTAGGTGTTTTGAAACAGGGCTTTTGCTGTTTTGGAACCCTGGCCAGTAATTTGGCCGCGGCGTTTTGCGCCCGTTGACGTTTTCGGGTAAGTCTTCAAGGGCAGACCCACGTAGCTTGCATTGCAGTAGCCCAGCCAATGCCCCTCTCTCCGTGGAGACTCCTCTGCTCCCAGCCATTCACCCCCTTCTTCCTTTGACAGATTGGAGTGAAGAACATCACCCACGGCGGCAGGAGCAGGGACCCCGACATAGAGGACCGCTTCAGCATGCCTCTGATCATCACCATTGTCTGCATGGCTGCCTCTCTGCTACTTGGCGCCGCCATCTATGGCTGCTGCCACCAACGCCTCTCCCAAAGGAAGGACCAGGTAAACAGGCTTTTTGCATTTTGTGCCATCAAGATGGGCCTCGCAGGAGTTGTAGGGCCAAGCTTCACACACCCCGACCCTTGAGTTATCTGCTCTGAGCCAGGGTCATAGCTGTCAAGCATCCCTTATTTGGCGGGACAGTCCCTTATCCCAGCGCCATGTCCCGCTGCTGTCCCTTATTGATGATGTCCCTTAAATAAGCTACTGAAGGTAATGGGGCCCTTTCTATGTCCAGCTGTCCTTTGTCAACAACAAATTGTTGCTGGTTTTTTTTGTGTTGAATATATGCTATATGGTAATTTATGGACCTAATAGGTATCTCAAGCCATTTGCACGCAACAAAATATGTATTTTATCAAAGTAATTGTTGATCCCTTATTTTGGCTGCTGATCCCTTATTTTCGAGGCTGCTGGTCCCTTATTTTCAAATCTGTAAATTGACAGCTATGGCCAGGGTCTCCCATATCCCACTTCATTTGCACACATCGGCAGTGCTCACCCTAACCCTCTGCATTGCAGAGTGTCAATTTCGGGTGTCGGTAGCCTATCTGCCACAATTCGCAATGCGTCAGTGAAACGAAACAGCTCAGGCCCCGTGAGCGCGGCAGCTCTTCCCAGTAGGTCTTGCCCCAATGGACCAAAAGTCTCTGCCTTTCCAGAGTCATCTCCTCACCTGGGTCTTTCCCAAGCAATCTGAGACTCATGTGCTGTCAAACACAGCAGTTCTTTCTCAGAACAAAAGGAATGAGGAGGTGGAAGGGGAACCAAAACAGTTTTATCAACAAATAAACAGCAGGCATGCAAAGCATAAAATAAAACATACCCGACAGGGGCTACCCAATCTCCCCTTCAGCTGCCCGGAGCCCCAGGTAGAGCAGCAGGAGAAAGACCCCGGCCGTCGGTCTCCCAGCATCAGGTCCTTTGATCTGGGTAGAAGTTCTCCAGGCCCCTCCCACCTATGGCTTTTATAGCCTGCCTTGATTTAATCAAGTGCACCGGGCATGACTCATGATTAGCCCAGGACCCTGAGATGGAACTAATACAGAGTGGCTGAGAGTCTCCCACTACCTGCAGCCGGGCATCTAGCCAGCGCTTGCAACACAGAAGAACCCAAGAAACTCCCGACAGGTGGGTGAAACACAAGAATCAAACAGGGGGTGTTAAAGGGAAAGGGACATGCCACCTAACTCCTCGAAATACAATTGTCTTCCGCACTTCCACTACACTCATCGCTTTGTCTCTGCTCTGCACTCTTCATACCTCTTCTGGTCCTGGAAGACCAGGGAGAAACTGAGCTGGTCATCGCAGGAGGGTAGACCCTCCTGGCATCTTCACCAGCCCGACTCACCTCTGCCTCTTCAGCTTCTAATTCTGATTCTGGACTTCTCTCTGCCACAGACTCTCCCTGCTCACTAAGCCCTGTTGCCTCGCCAGCTTCTGACACCTCCTCCTCCCAGCCTTCTCCCTCTGACCACTCATCGTTCCCCCCGCCACTCTGAGCCTTCTTCCCTTGGGGTTCCCCAGCTGCCGCCTGCTACCACTCCTCTGCATCCAGCAGGCGTTTGGACTAGGTGACCCCTGGGTCCCTTTCAACTCTGTGGTAAACTCTGTTGGATGCAGATGGCGCTGTGGTCTGAACCACTGAGCCTCTTGGGCTTGCCGGTCAGAAGGTTGGTGGTTCAAATCCGCACAACGGGGTGAGCTCCTGTTGCTCTGTCCCAGCTCCTGCCTATCTAGCAGCTCGAAAGCATGCCAGTACAAGTAGATAAATAGGTACCACTGCAGCAGGAAGGCAAACGGTGTTTCTGTGCTTCCCTCGTGGTGTCCCGTTGCGCCAGAAGCGGTTTAGTCATGCTGGCCACATGACCCGGGAAGCTGCCTGTGGATAAACACCAGCTCCCTTGGCCTGAAAGTGAGATGAGCGCCACAACCCCATAGTCACCTTTAATTGGACTTAACCATCCAGGGGACCTTTAACCTTTGTTGTTTAGTCATTTAATCATGTCCAACTCTGGACCAGAGCACGCCAGGCACTCCCGTCTTCCACTGTCTCCCACAGTTTGGCCAAACTCATGCTGGTAGCTTCGAGAACACTGTCCAACCATCTCGTCCTCTGTCGTCCCCTTCTCCTTGTGCCCTCCATCTTTCCCAACATTAGGGTCTTTTCCAGGGAGCCTTCTCTTCTCATGAGGTGGCCAAAGGATTGGAGCCTCAGCTTCACGATCTGTCCTTCCAGTGAGCACTCAGGGCTGATTTCCTTCAGAATGGAGAGGTTTGATCTTCTTGCAGTCCATGGGACTCTCAAGAGTCTCATCCAGCACCATAATTCAAAAGCATCCATTCTTCGGCGATCAGCCTTCTTTACGGTCCAGCTCTCACTTCCATACATCACTACTGGGAAAACCTTTACCTTACCGCAACTCTATGGTTTCAGCTTTTTTCAGTCCCTGTTCATATGTCTCCTACCCAAACCCCCCCGGTCCCTGCCTTACAGCAGCGCCTGACCGAGGAACTTCAGACGATGGAGAACGGTTACCACGACAACCCGACCCTGGAGGTGATGGAGACCTCCTCGGAGATGCAGGAGAAGAAGGTCAACCTGAACGGGGAGCTTGGAGACAGCTGGATCGTCCCCATGGACAGCCTAACGAAAGAGGATCTGGAGGACGAAGAGGACACGCATTTATAATTGTTTGGGGCTTTTTGTTTCGTTTTTTTAAAGAGAGAACGAACTTTGTGCTAAGCGAAAATTTCGAAAACACAGAAAACTCAAAACTTGCAGCCACAAGTGCCGACATGCAGAAGAGGCCTCGCAGTTATTGGGCGAGAGGATTTGTCAAGGGGGCATCTGCCGTGGCCAAATCCTTTTTGTTTTGTTGGTTTGGTTTTGTTTTCTAAAATCCCATTAGCTTTCTAAGCAAATTCTATGTGTTGGTGTGTGTATATGTGTACATATATATATATTTTTAATGACTGTGCCTCCTATTTAAGTGTTGAGCAGGGCAGACAGGAGATTCTCCCGCTCCCTTCCCCCTCTGGATGCCAAGGGACCATGAGAGCAAGGCTGGATGTGATGCTCATTTTAACAGGAGCCAAGGTTCTAGTCATCATGGCTGCAGAGAACAAGGTGGGAGCGCCTGTTCAGAGGACAGAGTTGGAGCTTAACTTCTGCTGTTTGCAGGCAGCTTTGCAAGGCATCGCTCCCTCACGGTTAGCGGCCGCAGGGGGGCGCATTATGCAAAAACTCAACCAGATATGCAAAACCCGAGGTGCATTGGGCTCCTGCGTACAGGAGACTCTGAATATTGGCAACAGGGCACAGCTAAAAAAGGCTGTCTCTCTCTACCTGCCCCACCGCAGGTCATCCTATCACTCCACTTGTTTTCTCCACGCATTAAAAAACATTCTCCCGATCTTCGTAGGTCAGGATCAGGCCATTAACTAGCCCATTCCAGTACGTAAGCATTTTGCAACAGCTGGCGCCTGCAGTGAATCTGTGCCAGCCATGCAAGGAGGATTCAGGTTTTTTTGCATTCTTCCTGTAGAATGCAAATTTGGGGGCGGGGTTTTTATGTGTGTAAGAATGAAGCACCGCAAAACCCAAACGGGCTACGACTGGAGCATTAGCCCAGTGGCACAACTTCAGATTTCAGGAGAGAGATTTGTATGCAGGAACATAGGAGCTTGCCTTATACTTGACTAGAAGACACTGGGCTCATCTAGCTCAATACTGTTCTACACTGGCCGGCAGTGATTCTCCAGGGTTTGACCAGTTTTACCTGGAGATGTCGGGGCATCGCACCTGGGACGTTCTGCATGCAGAGCAGATGTCCCACCGCTAAGCTGTGGGCCGTCGCCTTGTACATGGGAGCCAGGCAAAGCTCGCAGCAAGGTTTATAGGCCCACTTTGAAAACTGTTCCAAGACTAAATATCAAAAAGAAAAAAAGAGGAGAGGATGTAATATGCATTGAGCTAAAGGGATCAGCATTAATCTGCGCACTTCTCCTTCCAAGAGCATCTCATTTTTTTCTTCTTAATAATAGCTATAGCAATATTTAGTCAATGCAAGTTGAAACAGCCACCCGTTGCTTTTATCAAAAGAGAAGGTGGAGGGTTTTGTGCCTTTGACATGCATGGTTGATCCATAAACCCATTTAATGGTGCAATTTAGGGTGTAAAGCTACTGAGTGAGCTAACTTGGATGTGCAATAGGGGATCTTAGCTGTGGGGGTCTGAAACAGTGGAACGTTTGCAAAGGGAAGCTTGTATCTCTGTGGAAAGGGAATTTGATGATGGCCCAAAGCCTTTCATGCTCCCAAATTTGCCCTTTTTTAAAAAAATCCCACATTGTTCTTGTCATGCTTTGGAAAGCATGACCTTTCCAAAGCGTCGATTAATTTAAGCCTAGTTATTGGATTTCACAATCATCGAATGAGATGCTCTTATGGACTTTACACAAATCGCCGTGGGCAGAAGGAACCAACCCTACAACTGTTCTGAACCCATCGCAAGTCCCTTCTTCGTCCCCTTGCACATTTGATACGGGAAAGTTGTTGAGAACATCTCATCATGCTTTTCGAGATAAGTTATAGGAACGGAAACGGCTAAAAAAAATAAATGAGACCCTGTCCTAGTCCTATTCAGAAGACAAAGATTAAGAATGAGATAAAGCACGCCTTAAGTCCCATTAATAAAAGACAATGTGATGGCTTTTGATGAATCTGGCCCTTTGTCTTCCCTCAGCTGTGGGACCTCTGAGGAGAGACAATGGGAAGATGGGTGGATCCTTCGATATTTCCTTCCCTCCCTCTTTTTTAAAAGCAGATTTATGACAGCTATTTGGATTGTATCTTAGGTCAAATATAACTTTGGAACCCGCCGTCAAAAATTGGTAGGTTCCTAATCCATTTGAACAGGAACTCCCAACTCCCAAACATTGGCAAAGCCATTCTCTGGGCAGGAGATGTAAATTTAGAGGCTGTAAATTTAGAGTCTCTTACTGGCCCGGCTTGAGTTCGGCGCAGGAGGAAGGAAGCGTTCAAATGTCAGAGTGCTCAGTCTTTGCATCTTCCTGTATCAGCCCAGGGAGATTCCAGGAAAAAGGGGATTCTAGCAGCTCCTATTAAATACCTTGCCTTTGCAGAAAAGATCAGCGTAACATTTTCCTATCTTCACTGATAAATACTAGAGTGACTGTGTGTGGCTGTGCCACACGGATTTTTTTATTTTTAATGAAACTATTTCTGGCATTCTGCTATAGCCATAAGAAAATTAATGTTGTCTTGTAGGCTCACACCAAGGTCTCTTCTTAAGAGACTGGCAACTGGAAGCTTTGAGGGGACCAAATATGGCAATACGTCCCCTTATCCCAATCTCTGCCTCCATCACTCACCCAACCTTCCCATTCCAAGGTAAGGGCTTCTGAGACCCTTGTTTCTTAGTGCATGGCTGCTAGTGGAGAGGAATCTGTTCTCTTCAGCCAGGTGTGTCAAGAGGTATAATAATAATAATTTATTATTTATACCCTGCCCATCTGGCTGGGTTTCCCCAGCCACTCTGGGCAGCTTCCAAGACAATATTAAAATACACTAAGGCCTCAAACATTAAAAGCTTCCCTAAACAGGGCTGCCTTCAAATGTCGTCAAAAAGTCTGGTGGTAGTTGTTCTCTTTGACATCTGGTGGGAGGGCGTTCCACAGGGCGGGTGCCACTACCGAGAAGGCCCTCTGCCTGGTTCCCTGTAACCTCACTTCTCGCAGTGAGGGAACCACCAGAAGGCCCTCAGAGCTGGACCTCAGTGTTCGGGCAGAACGATGGGGGTGGAGACGCTCCTTCAGATATACTGGACCGAGGTAGTGATGGCATGGGGGAGATCGGAGTCTAATTCTTCGCAGCTCAGATCTTTCAAGTGGGTACCAGCTCTGGGCTGGGGCAGTGACATCAGTAGCCCACTTACTTCACCTTCCGGTGAAAGCATCGTTTCCTCAACAAAGCAGCCAAAGCTAATGTGGCCCTCGAGGTGTTGCTGGACTACAACTCCCATCATCCCTTGCAGGCTGGGGTTGATGGGAGCTGGAGTCCAGTAGAAGTGCCACTGGTTTATCTCCTAGCTGGTGCTGGAACCCGGCTTGTCTCGAGAGACAATGGAGTGCGCTTCCGGGGGGTGAAGTCAAACCGCTGTGTTAGCCGCACCAAAATGGCCTCTCTGGGGCGCAAACCTGCGCAGTGTGCATGGAGGTCAAGGGCTACCCAGACGACAAGACGCCCATCCTCCGCCTGGCTGGTGTGGTCCAAAGGTCACAGAAATTAGAATTGTAGTGTTTTTTTGGGGGGGAGGACCAAGGGTCATCTAGTCCAGTGTTTCCCAACCTTGGGCCTCCAGCTGTTTTTGGACTACAATTCCCATCATCCCTTGCCACTGGTCTTGCTAGTCAGGGATGATGGGAGTTGTAGTTCAAAAACAGCTGGAGGCACAAGGTTGGGAAACACTGTCCACCACCCCCAGCAATAAAAGGTGCAGCAATAAAACAGCTCGCACATTTGCAAAGGATTTGGTATAGTTTCACATTGGATGCGTTGAGATTCCTGTATTGCCCAGGGTTGCACTCTTGATTTCATGAGTCTCCATCCTTGCCTTCCGATTGTATTATGTGCCTTGGGAGCAGCTGTGGTGCACGTTAAGGGCAAAGGGCTCCACCAAAGGACAAAGGGCACTTTGCTATTGTCACCATGGAAACGGAGGGCGTTAGAGAGTCCTTTGCCTGTTTGTCAGATCTGCAGAGTAAGTCAAGAGATCAGGGGTTGCCTTACAACCCTTCTTTTTAATATAATGTAGAGCAGACCTATTCGGACGAGCAAAAATATGCACCTCTTTCTGATATTGGGTCAGGGGGACAAAATACGAAAGTATTGCAAATAGATTTCCCCCCAGTTACTAGTCTGTGGAGATATAAGACAATCTGAAGGGGACGGGGGGGCAGGAAAACAGACTTTCTTGCAACTTCCCCAATTTTCTTCCTCTACAACTAGACTATCAACAATTCAGTCCCAAAAAAAGTTAGATCGGGTTATTTGGTTATGTTAGTTGCTCTGCTCCAGCTATTTTTCAGGTGTGCTGTTACTCGAAAGGGATAGGAGGGTGCTTTAATGTGTTGCAAAGGAGACCGAGATGGCAAAAATAAGTTACACACACAGACACGGTTCATGCAAATGAAAGATGTGAACTTCTGGTTAAGACAAGGACCCAAAAGCAGCTGCAAAGTTTAAATTTTGAGAATACTAATTACCCCTTCAACATGGCACTACGAAGGTACTAGCAACTTGGGAACACTGCTAGGTCCTCCAATTGCCCAGTTTGTTTGTTTTTTATTGCTGCTACTGCAATTTACTATTTTTTGTTAAATCGTACTTTCTGGTGTACGAGAGGCTCCAGGATTCTGATGTCGTTATGATTTAAAACCACACGGCGAAGCAGGTTGAGGGGAGAGAGGAGGTGTGAAGATGTGTAATATCTATGTTATTGATATGTTTGTAATGACAGAAAAGAAAGTTAATAAAAATTTATTTTTTAAAAAAGTGGGGGGGGGGAGGCAGAGCCGCCCCCAGATTTGACACCGAGTCTCCCACATCCAGAGCCAATGTGTTTTCAACTGTACCCTGCGGGTCCTCGATGCAAGTTTTCGTTTGCGAATGGACTGCAATGTGCGCCTAGCCCCTTTTGATTGTGATAATGCATCTAAATGCTACTTTTTATGCACTGTGCAGCTTCCTCAGCGCACACTTAACTGCGCTGAAACAGGAGTCTGATATACACTGGGATTTTAACAGAGGAACTGGATTGTAAAGATTATCGTTGCATTTTCCTACAAAGTATATTTTGAAGACACCACTTATTTCTGTCAATAAAAGTTTCTTTTGTGAAGGGCTGGTGGCCCCTCTTTTTCTTCCCCCCCCCCCACGGTCACACAAGTTGGCGGGGTTGGGAAATCTTACAACTTTCTCACGTTGCAAAATCTCTTTTCCAGTTTCTAAACTTGCCCGATTAAACTGGTTTATATCTGCATCTCAAAACTGGGAAGTGCAATGTCTGGAAATGAAAGATTCCTTTTATAAGGGGTGGAGGGAACATAATTTACATGTGGGCAAGGACGTGTGGTTACAAAAAGGGGCCTGATATGCAAAGATAAAATTTCTACCCCATGGCTGCACCTATTTTTGCTTCCCTCTCCCCACCACTGGCCAGTGGCCCCTAGCACATAATCTAGAAGTCAATGTGGCCCTCAGCCTGAGAAAGGTTCTCATCCAGTCATTTCAATGGATCCACACTCAAGTGACTTTTAACACTGGACAGCAGTCGCTGCAAGAGGAGAGCCGACTGGATGGATTTGTGATACATTCACATATTGAAATACTTTATTGTCATTTGTACAACTTGTATACAGTGAGATTACACGAGCACCACCACCCCACTCAGCTCTCTTAATCTGAATTCCCCTCGTTTACTGATGCACACCCACCAAACCCAAAAGTCAGTTGCCCTGTTGTTATCTTTTCATTCAGCAGCCTAACAGCCCACGGATAGAAGCTGTTCTTTACCCTGTTGGCGCGACTAATCATGCTTCTATATCTTCTGCCCGAGGGCAGGAGATCAAGAAAGTGCTGGCCAAAGTGTGAATCATCCCTGAGAATTTCCCTCACTCTTCTGAGGCAACGTTCTTCTGCTATTTCATCCAGCGGATTCACGGGACAGCCCATAATATCTCGTGCTGTATTCACCACCCTCTGTAGGCACTTCCTATCAGTTGATGTCAAATCAGCATACCACACTGATGCAGTATGAAAGGACTCTTTCTATTGTGGACCGGTAGAAGATCATCAAATGTTGACTGACATCGTTCTTTTGCAATACTCTGAGGAGATGGAGTCTCTGTTGGGCTTTCTTAACCACCTGGGTTGTATTTATTTTCCAAGTAAGGTCTTCACTGAGATAAACTCCAAGGAATTTAAAGGATGAGACTCTCCACACAGCCACAGTGGGGCTAGTTCTCCTCTCTTCCTCTGAAATCAAGGTCCGTGTTTTAAATCTCGCTAGGTAACTAAGCAGCAAAACCAAAATTTCTACCGAAGCACTGCAAGAAGTGATTCCCGTGACAAGATGGGCATTGATTTTTGTTTTTATTAAGAAAAAAAAATGAACAAAATACATTCTCTCTCCGTATATACATTACATACAGCATAATTCTACATTGGTAAATGCTCTCATATCATTCCAAAGCAATCCTTAATACTTCAACCTGGGGTCACAACCATTTTCCTTATGCCGAGATAGGAGGAG